AAATATACCAAGGTACAATTCGATCTATATAAAATAAATAAAGTAATTAAATAATATTTAGATATCGTAACTTAAATCCAATATTACTAGGCTATATGTGTCAATAAACTGTTCGAAAATGTCTTACTTCTGTGGCGATATTCCTTACATACTGGGCGTTGTGAAAACCCGGAATGCCGGAATATGGTGGAATATCACGGAATATGGCGGAATATCACGGAATATGGCGGAATATCACGGAATATGGCGGAATATCACGGAATATGCCGGAATATCACGGAATATGCCGGAATATCACGACATTTTCCCGGAATATATCGGAACATCACAATTAATATTTTCCGATTGTAGCCAGTGCGACTGTTTATAAACATGAACGTCTGACAACATATTTTATTACAAAAGTGATGGATCTTTCTCATTTTGACGGGAAGTAACAAACAATAACTCTATACTGGAAGTTTTATATGTTGTTTATATCACTACTACGAGTGTTCACCAAAAATGTTGAATCAATATGATTAATTCCTCCTGAGTTACAACGCTTGAAAAACGCTGTAACTCAGGAGGAATTAATCGCCCGTTACAGTTTACACTTGCAATTTTTGCTGTGATTTTTCCTCCTTCTAATGCATGTGAACAAGTAGATGAGTTACGAATGTTCGGAGTACATGTCCCCTCATCTGAACATTCATAACTTATCCACTCGTTCACATGCATCAGTTCTTCTGATGAAAATCGCACCTAAAATCGCAGTAAATTGGAAGTGTGAACGAGCCTTTATACATAAAATTTAGTTAAAAATTATTAAGACGGGACTTCTTACCTGACATATACAACTGGCTCAAACTTGCCTTTATTTTAGCATTTGATTTTTGAATAAATGCTTGGTGGTATAAAATGGTCAATTTTAACTAAATTCGTGTATAGTTCTGAAGGCGTTCGAAAATAATGCTGACGTCAGCACTTTCGTTTTCAAGCGCTGTAACTCAGGAGGAATTAATCATATTGATTCAACATTTTTGGTAAACACTCGTAATAATGATATAAACAACATATAAAACTTCCAGTATAGAGTTATTGTTTGTTACTTACCGTCAAAATGGGAAAGACCCATCACTTTTGTAATAAAATATGTTGTCAGATGTCCATGTTTGTAAACAGTCGCATGGCTACCATCGGAAAATATTGTGATTTCCGGTATATTCTGGGAAAATGTCGTGATATTCCGTGATATTCCGCCATATTCCGTGATATTCCGCCATATTCCGTGATATTCCGCCATATTCCGGCATTCCGGGTTTTCACAACGCCCGAAAAAATAGGTATAAAATAGGTTATAAATATGTCGGGTTCTACAAGGGGTGTAGCTTTAACCTTAGGCAAGACACATAAATTATCATTGCTTTTTCTTTTGTATAGGTAGTGGTTTTAATTGTGCACAATGGTGGCAAAAGGGATTTCGACAGGCAATTTTGAATAGTCTAGGTCGTATAGTTTGTCATTTTTGCTTGGAATCAGATGCGAAAAGGTTCATTCAACAGCTAAAACTTAAATTTTGATTCATATCATATAATGTGAAGTAATTAAATGTCTTTTGATACACCCTTTTGATACCGTGTTTACTGAAGCTGAAAGGTCGATAATTATTGATTTTATAATAATCAATACCAATTTAATTTCTTATTAAAGATTATTAACAACAATGAATTGAATTGCATTTGGGTTTCAAACGTTCTCAACAATAAAAATGCATCAAATTGTACAATGCCCATCAACCCGTCGTCCAACGTGGCGGAACAACAGAAGATGAGCAGGAAATAAATGATGAAATTAGGAGGTTGTTGGACAGCAAGGACGCAATAAAGACAAAAACAAAACAGCTAAGCTTGCTTACAACGTCTTCGCAGCGTAACAGAGTCAAGCAGATATTGCCAAAACAAAATACTTCACAGACTTGGGCAAATAATTAATTAACAAATTTTTTACGCAAGTACGCAACTGAGAAGCGGCAGTGACTTTGTTAACTTTCAGGCAAGGACTGCATGAGGCGATATTATTGAGGGAAAATTGACATTAACATCGTCAAGGTTGAAAAATGTTCTTATAGCATTAAGTTGTTCAAAGCAACAGTCACTGATTTACAATAAACATTATAAACTTAAGAGAATGACTTTTATCAATGTTAGCTTAAATGTTAACTTAATATATTTCCTAAATTATTTCTCCTTGTTGGTTATTGATAAAAATTTAACAAAAGTTGTGTTATAATTTATAAAAAATGTTGGATGTCATTTATATAGACCTTTCATCCTGAGGAATGAATTAAATATGCTGAGAGCTTCGTTCCCTCGTTCCAGGTTTATAACTGATAAATAATGAGAGCATAAAGACATTTTAGACAGTATATCTTGGGGAAAACAGTGCTTGACTACACTAATTATTGCCGATTGACAGAAACAAATTGCCTCTTAATATTATATCATTTTTATGCAGTCTATATCACAACAAGATGTCCGCAAACACACAAATTAATGTTTTTATTATAACCAATCTTCCATGCATACCCTATAATTAATACATAATAAAACCAATCTATTCAGTCGAAACAGACTAGAACTATCTATTTTACCCTCCCATAGCCAGTATAGAAAGCCCAAACTGTAAATATCGATGCAAATATTGTCTAATTTCAAACTAAGGTACTTTGGTCATTTGATATCATACTTAGTCTTCTTCGTTTTTATTCATGCATGTATACAATACAGTAAAGAAAAGGAATAATCTTCAATACCTCGGAATCGAAAGTGTTATAGCTACAATAGCTTGCAGTATTGTAATGTATAATAACTTGCAGTAAATTTTACTGAACTAAATCAAAAGTGAAGTTTTGAAATAAGGAGAGTTTAAGCTTCGCGTTTGAGGGTATTTTTCAATAAAATTTTCACTTTCTCCTTTGCTTCGCGTTACAATTTTCCGTCTTATGTAAAGCAATTATTATTTAAATCAGTCACTTAACCTTAACATACTCACTTAGTAATTTGTCAAGATGTTCCTGATTGGCCAGTCTATAACAAACTGTTTCAATGTCTGGGGTTTGTCGTTCGAGCGAGAAATGAACCTGAACTCTCTAGTTTGATTTTGATCAAGTTCTGTTAAAGTTTTTTGTTTTTGGTAAACACTTAGTCAAAACAAAGCTACGCACATTAATTAAAATAATTAAATGACATAAATTTCCCTTAATCCCATACGTTTTAACGATCAAATAAAAGCATTAGTGGATTACTTCGTACACATTTTCTTCAAGAACTTCGTTTACAGAATTGTTACGCATGTTCAATAAAGCATACCGCCGAACATTTTCATAGGTGTGACTTCTGTCAGGTTGCATCTGATCACTGGTGTTCAAACATTGATAATTTGCATCGATGGGAGCTCCCATGAAACTGCTTTGTTGTGCATGCTCGTCTGGGCTTCCGTCTGGTTGTGTGCCGCGATAAGCAGGATTTTGAATGTTACGTCCAGTATCTCGCTCGTTCTCTCTTTTAGGTATTCGTCGATAGAAAAAGCAAGCAACGATCAAGACTAGCGTTACTAGGACAACTACCGCTGACACCACGGCCCCAATAACGATATAAGTGTTATTGTTTGATGAAGAAGGTGACTCGGCCACTTCTAGAAATGCAACCAATACAATGAGTAGTTATTTAATTTGAAGACTTACAATTTGTTTGCGATACTGAATAACATTTGAAGCAGTGAGATAGCCAGGATTTCTAGCCAAAGGGCAGGGCCGTAGCTACACAGCCAACTTCGTGCAATTCGAAACAGATCTGCAGCAGATCTGTTACAACTTGTTGTCAACAAGCCGATATCTGGATGCGTTCGCTCGCCTTGTACCTGTCTGTTCTAACAGGCCCGCAACGGCTTGTGAACAGGCCTGTCGCAAGTTGTTGACACAGAGCTGCAGCAATGCTGTTGTCAACAACTTGCAACAGACCTTACGAACCGAGACACGGTAACATCTCAACCATAGCCCTAAAATTTGTAAAAGTTATAATAAATTTTTGATATAATAAAAAGCTTAAGGTTGATTTTCAGATGGCCGTGTGTTTCAAATATAGGAAATAATTATGTACATAATTTAAAAGTATAATGTTAAAAATGTTAAAAAGTAATCTGTATAAAATTTATACATTTAAAATCTTTCTATGAAGTTCAATATCGTTCCAAGCTGCAGTACCTTTGTAACTAAAGCTACGCTTTAGAGCGTTGGTGTTGGGTTTGGGCAAGTATAGAGAACGTGGTTGTTACTTCTTAATTGATACGTTTGATTAGAAGAGATTGTAAAAAACTCCCGGAGGTAATCAATTGAATTTCCTTTCATTATTTGTATCGTTATAGTTTCTAATTGTTTCTCTCTCCTTTCCTGTAAGGTGTCCTACCCGTTTGGTTCTGACGGCATCAGAAGGTGTTTCGTAGCAATCACCTGTGATTATTCGACCTGCTTTATTTTGTAGCTTTTGTAGTTTGTTTTGCAAGGTTTTGGAACAATTATCCCATACCAACGCACAATAGTCAAAATGCGGTAAAACAAAAGCGCTATAAATAGTTTTAAGAGTATCTTTGTCAAGTAAGTCTTTATATCGTCTCAGTATTCCAATCCCTTTCGAGGCTTTTTTGCTACCTTATCAATGTGGTCTTTTGCATTCATCTACTATAACTGCAAGGGATTTGGTAGACGAAACACGTTTGATGCTTTCAGATCCTATTGGTAGAATAGGTTTAGTATTTATTTGGGCATGGTTAATAGAAAATAAGCATGGTTTGGAAGCTAGATAAAAGTCATTGTTCTATGTTTTTGTTTGGGTTGACGCACTTTCACGGTTACTGAACGTATGGTATTTTCAGTATAATGAAGCAATCATCCAATAGCAACGTTTGGGTCCAGTCTTTCAGGCATACCATTTAAATATTAATGAACCTAAGACAAACGAATTGTGCACCTTCATGTCCTTTCCAACAAAAATTATATAAGTAATGTCAATTACTTTGAAGTCTGACGGCTTTCCAAACCATGTTTGTTTTAGTATTAACTATGATTTGGGACTGCCTGTCTTCATCTAATTAACATATGCTCAGTTTTGTTAACATTTGGGGTTAACTTATTGGCTAATAGCCACATGTGAACATTATTTAAATCATTTTCGAACTTTTCCTGTATCTCACATATCATCGGCAAAAAGTGCGGGGCTTGAGGAGTCAAGACAATTCGACAAATCGTTAATGTAGAGCAAAAACAGAAGAGGACCAAGATTTGATCCCTTCGGCACACCTGTTGTGATTTTCTCAATTTTTGAAATTGTTACCCCAACTTTGCATACTTGTTTTCTATGACTAAGATATGAGGTGAACCAGCGGAGAGCAGTGTTTTTGATACCATAAAATTCTAATTTTTTAATCATTATATTGTGATCAACTGTATCAAAAGCCTTGTTCAGGGCTAAAAAGAAAACGCCATTAATTAATCCTTAACCATTCATTGGTTGTTCTTAATAGAGAAGAGCAGGTAAAGTACCCTTTTCTAAGACCTGATTGGTTTGGAGTTAGTATCTGGTTTGTAATAAGGTACTGGTTTAATTAACTGATCAAATACAATTGTTTCGAAAATTTTAGAAATAGTGGACAAAATAGAGATAGGTCTATAATTGCCACATTCCTCTCGATTTCCCGATTTGAAAATTGGAAAAACTCTAGCATTTTTCCAGTCGCTTGGAAAATTCCCTCTGAAAGGGATAGATTAAAAATAAGGTTCAGATAAGGAGTGACAACGACTGCAGAATCTTTTAATAATTTTTGGGGAATTTTGTCAAAACCGGCGGCTGTTTCTACTATTGTTATAGACATTTGACTTGACAATTTTGGTCTAATTTCAACAAAGTATGTGTTGAGTTGGTCAGCTATTAATTTTTAATCTTGGATAAATTATCACCCAGATCATCTTTAATTGTGGTAATGGTGGTGGTTTTAAAACACCGACCCTTACCGTCGATGACCTGGTTAATATTTTTCTACATCTCTTTAGGATTGCCTTTATTTAGTTGAATATTATCCTTACAGTACTGGGCTTTTGCAGATTTAATTAATTTGTTCACTTAATTCATTTTGTTTTGCCTTATATGCCTGATGAAAGATTTTAGAGTTGTTTTTAACTGCCTTCTTTTTCAGATAACCCGGCGTGTTCATCTCACATCTAATATCAGTTGTTAACCATAGAGCATAAGCACTTCTTACCTTTCGAGTTTTAACTGGAGCGTAAATATCTGATACACTATTGAATATGTGTTTAAACTGATCCCATAGATGGTCTGGATCTTTCTGATCCAAAGCAGAGTAACTCAGTAATTGAGAAAGACGGCTATTGAAGCAGTTAACATTATAGTATTTTTAGATTTCTCCTTTCAACGATCTTAGGTTTTTCTCGAGGTGCATCATTTTCAGACATGAATATACAAGACTGTGATCTCTAATACCTACTTTCAATCACGCCACTTTCTTTTACTTTATCAGAGCGGTTAGTTGCGATTATGTCAATTAACGATTCTGTGTTGCCTGCAGTTGCCTACAATTAGTTTTTTCATTTGAAATAACTCTAGGATGTCTATAAGTATACGAGAATGGGGTTGGAAGACTGAGAGAGAGAAGTCACAGTTTAAAAAGTCCCCTGTAATGATTAGTTCTTTATCCTGTTCGTCTAGTAAATGGAAATAGTTTTCAAAAGCATCCATTGATTGAATGAGAAAGTGAAGCCGGAAGCGTCCATTTCGTGTAATTTTTCTCTTTACTCACATTTTCGATTTGTTTCCCAACAACAGACTTGTTGAAGCTTGTTGTGACAAGACAAAAATAATTTGTTGTCGACAGGTTTGGCGCAGGGCTGATAACAAGTTTGGTGCAGACTTGACAATAACAACTCGTGACAGATCTGTTGGAAGAAGCTGTAACAACCTGATGATTTCATCAGACTTGCTGCAAGTTGTTCTATCAGACCTGTTATCTCTTGTTAGTAACAGGTTTGCAGCGGGTTGTTTCAACAATTCGCTACGGGTCTGTCCTCGACAGACCTTTCCCCTTATGAGTGAAATTTTGATCTAGACAAGCCTGGACAACAATTTTATCACAGCTTGAAAAAGCATCACAAAATTAGTAATACTCCGAAGTTTCGTTGCGAAATGTTGTAAAATGCGGATAATATAGCCCTGCGAAGTTTGCCGTTTTTCAGCCATTTTGTATTACAAATGGGAAATAGGTAATCAGTTTGATCATCTGATTACCAATTTCTCGTTTGTAATGCAAAATGACTGAAAAACGGCAAACTTCGCAAGGCTATATTATCCGCATTTTACAACATTTCGCAACGAAACTTCGGAATATTACTAATTTTGTGATGCTCTTTAAAGCTGTGATGAAATTTTTGTCCAGACTTGCCTAGATCAAAATTTCACTCAAAAGAGGAAAGTTCTATACTGACAGACCTGTTCCCGCAAGCCTGTTTCCGCCTGACGAAACCAACAGATCTAGACCTGTCGCGACTTGTTGACAACTTGCCGCAAGCCGGTAAAATAAACAACTTCCGACAGGCACAGGGGCGCCGGAGCCACGGGGGCAACGGGAGCAATTGCCCCCGTTGCCCAAACAGTGTGGGGGACAGCAAGGGGGCAACAGGTTGCCCTTTCCACCAGACTTCGAAATTTGTGCGTTATTCACAGGAATTGGAATTTATAACTATTTTTAAATTAAGTAATGTTTAAGCAATCTTTGCTTAATTTTTAACCAGTTATAGTAAAATTAATGCTAAATCAGGCAATATATCCGTTTACTGATTTTATTCTGCGCCCTCAACATGGTGCAACGAATAAAATTCTTCAAAATTAATGTCGAAGTTTGTCGACTCATAATAGCCACAAGTAATCGAGTATTCATACAGTAAAGTTTTAACAAATATTGCCGCCCAGAAAAATGATGGCTAACTGAGAAGCAAGTGCCCTTTTGAAATGCCTGCCCCCGCCGCTTCTCATTGCTTCCAGCGCCCCTGGACAGGTCTGTGAGATTTCTGGCGGTGTATAGTCGCGATAATCTGGGGGGGGGGGTATATTCATATATTCATGTTCACATACCGTAAAAACAATTGCTTTCAAAAAGAAATCTGTCGGGAAGAACACGGATCGGATATGCTAGTTCGAATACAATCTGTTTGTTTGTTACCATGCATAATACAGGGTGTATAAAAAAAAACTGAACAGATTTAAAATTGCCCTCAATTTCGCAAAACAGCTATTTGTAGCTGGTTTTTTTATATATATAGCTTCTTTGGGTACTTATAATGTAAAATAATGAAAAAAATTTCTCGAACTTAAATTTTGTGAACCAGGGGTGTGTGTCTTTTCCAACAAACTAAAAATGGCTCGCGCACAAAATTTAAAAGCTGTAATCATATTTTGAGTTAACAGATTGACAATTTGTCGGGTGTTTACTTACTGTACAAAATTTCAGACAATTTGGTTTAGTTTAAGCCCTTTAACTATTCATTTTGTTCTAAAAAGTCAGCCTTTCGCATGCTTAATTAATGCTTTTACCTAATTTGCATATTGCTGACATATGCAAATTAGGCAAATGCATTAATTAAGCATGCAAATAGCTGATTTTTCGGGAAAATTGTAACTTTGCGTAAATAGTTAAGGGGCTTAAACTAAACCAAATTGTCTGAAATTTTGTACAGTAATTAAAAGCCCGACAAATTTTCCATCTGTTAACTCAAAATGTGATTGTAGTTTTTAAATTTTGTGCGCGAGCCATTTTTAGTTTGTTGGAAAAGACACACACCCCTGGTTCACAAAATCTGAGATCGAGAATTTTTTTTCATTATTTTACATTATAAGTACCCAAAGAAGCTATATATATAAAAAAACAGATACAAATAGCTGTTTTGCGAAATTGAGAGCAATTTTAAATCTGTTCAGTTTTTTTTTATACACCCTGTATATATATATATATATATATATATATATATATATATATATATATATATATATATATATATATATATATATATATATATATATATATATATATATATATATATGTATGTATGTATATATATATATATATATATATATATATATATATATATATATATATATATATATATATATATATATATATATATATATATATATATATATATATATATATATATATATATATATATATATATATATATATATAAGCTTTGATATTAGGTATGGTAATGCGAAACGATCCACATCTACTGAATTTAAAGTTCGTTTTCGTAACCACAAGTCAGCTATGCTTACGGATAAGAAAGTTTGTGAGATGGCCGTTCATTTTAATGAAAATAAACACGAATTTAAGGATTTGGAATTTGTAGCCACTGAAAAAGTTGACTTAGTGAATGGCGAAAATGCCAATAACCCTTTATTGACCAGAGAAGCATATTGGATGGCACAGCTGTGTACAATTAGCCC